TCTCTCCGCCCCTCTTCTGCTTGTGTTCACTCTCAAAAAAACCCCAAAAGCCCCCAGACCCGTGCCCTTGAAAGTGGTTAGACATGTTACCCGAAGCCGACAGGAAAGAAAACAGAAACACAGGGTGCTCGTCACCACCGTGTTTCTGCGGCCCGCGCTGTTTTCTCCATGGTTGTTCTCCGCGGTCTCGTTTGGACGCAACGTCTCTTCGTTGCCTTGTGGGCCGGGGCTCCGGGCTCCTGCCTCACCTGGTCTGTAGCTGCTCCCTCTTCCCTCCCCCGACCAGCCATTCACGGGAAGAACCTGGTGGCCATCCTTCACCTCCTCGTCGCCCTGGCCATGCACTTCCGGGCCCCGATCCGCCTTCCGGAGCACGTGTCCGTGCAGGTGGTGGTGGTGCGGGTGAGTATGGCATGGGGCGGTGGGCTTGCCCGTGGCGTCGCGGGAGGGGCGCCGGGCCAGCTGCCTCCCGTAGGTCTCCTGCTGCCTTTTCTTTCTCCCCTAAGAGGCCACCTTCTGTGCTCCCCGCCTGACCCGGTGTGTGTCTCACCCTGGCTTTGGTCCAAGTGACGGAGCAGGAGCAGCGGCCCTGATTTGGAGAGGGAGGCGGATTCAGAGGCACGAGCGTGTTGAATTTTCCAGACTTTTTTAAAAAGAACATTCATCTGTCTCCAAAGCCAAGTAGCTGGAATTCAGTTCTCTTGAACGAGCTTGCTCCTCACCGGAGAGGGCTGAGTCCAGCGGCATGAACAGATGCCCCGGTTAGAGCTCCTCCGGGTCTCTTCCCCGTTATCCCCCTTGTTCCCCGGCTCTCTCTCTTGGAGTTCATTCTCTTGCTTCGCTTGGAGACGTGGAAGCAGGAGCCAGGGCCCTCCTGACCGAGGAGGGGCCTTTCCTGCCGTGTCCCCTGCATTTGAGGGGAGACACCCCTCGAGTGGCTTTGTGTTCCGCGCTTGTCCTGTGAAATGTGCACACAGGCTGTTGGGGACGCTGAACGCGGAAAACACTCGGGTTCCGAACACGAGACCCGTGAGGTTAATGCCCGGGGCCTGGACGTCTGTGTGCTTATGCACTTGTGATGCCCAGCTCCACACTTGCCCTCTTCCGCTCTCTGTGGGCGGCAAGGCTCTGGCCGGCCCCACTTTCCCAAAGCCGTCTGACCCCGCCGTTACCCCCGGAGCTCGGCCTTGACCCGGCCGGCAGTAACGCCCCTTTCTGGCATCAGGCGAGGGTCACCCACTGCCACTTGGCCCTGCTTGCTTCCCGAGGAGGGATGTTTGTGGTCAGTGGTGGTGATGGAGACAGAGACCATCCCTGCCGCCCTTCTCCTGGACGTTCACTCGCGGCAGCCAGCCGGGAAAGGCTTCCCAAGGACACGCGGGCGCGTCCGTCAGACTCGGGGGCCCCATGAGTGCCGTGTAGCTCGGTAATCAAGGTATTTCCTTTCAGGCCCGCACTTTGGTCCAAGAACTCTTGGGTTTTTAGAAAGTTTTACTGACCCGGGCAAGCCCTTGCTGGTGCCTCCTGCCTGACCAGGGTTACGGAAGGATTCTTAGGGCCACGTCCAAAGGGGTGTGAATCAAGAGGAGGTCCCGGGAACTGACTGGCCTCAGGCCTCCGAAGCCTGCCTCCCAGGCCCTGGGGCCTGTCCCTCCACGTCCGGTTATCTGGTCTGAGATGGGAGATGCAAGAAGTGTGGGGGTCCATGGAGGGAAGGGATGAGGACAGGGGTCTCATTCACTACATAGCAGCATGGCCTTGGGAGACCATTTGATTTCTCTGAGTTGCAGCGAGTTCCTCATAGAACTGAGCGGATGCTATAAACCTTTGAAATACTCAGCTTCACGTGTCCGGTACTCAGCCCTGGGCCTGGCACCTAGGAAGTGCCTAATGCACATTGGACGCGTGAGCGAGAGAAGTGTCTCCAACCTCCCGTGGTGGACTGAGTCTCCTGGGAATCAGGCCGAGGCCCTGAGGCCGCTGATGGCCGCCCATGCTGGTTGCTTGAGAGTTCCCTGGAGGCCGAGCTGGAAAGGGGTGGGGAGCTCAGCTCTCAAGAGGTGTCCATGGTGGGTTGGCCAGCAGGAAGGGAGTTCCCCGTGTCTCGAGGGGTCCAAGTAGGGGCTCGCAGTGGTTGGGTGGGCTGGCCGCCCGAGCTGCACCTTGCGGTCCCGTGACATGCAGGCTGCCCCCGATTCCCACCACCACCCCCTTCAGTCCCACCATTGCTGCCTCTTCACACCCGTGGGGCTTTCGGAGAAGTCTGTCATGCACAGGGTGACGTCCCACGGCCTGCTGTATGTAACACAATACCGCGACCTGGCTGTTTGAAACAACAGACCCTCGCCTGATGCCAGGAAGGAGCATTTCCACCTGCCGGGTCAAGGCCAAGCTCCCCAGGGTAACGGAGGGGTCAGATGGCTTTGGAAAACCAGGACCAGCCTGAGCCTTGCAGCCCGCGTTAGTAACGGAGGCCAGAAGTCCTACTAATCAAGGGGTTGGCAGGGCCCCAGTCTCTCTGAAGCCTCCAGGAGAGGATCCTTCCTTCTCTCTTCTGGCTTCTGGTGGCTTCCGGCAGCCCTCGGCATTCCTGGCCTTGTAGATGTGTCCCCCCAGGCTCTGCCTGTGTCGTCACATGACCTCTTCCCTCTGTGCCCGTGTGTGTGTGTGTGTGTGTGTGTGTGTGTGTGTGTGTGTGTGTGTTTTCTCTCATAAGGACTCCAGTCATGCTGTACTTAGGACCTGCCTAGTCCATTATGGCCTCATCCTAACTAACTGTATCTGCAAAGACCCAGTTTCCAAACAAGGTCACGTTCTGAGGTTCCGAATGGACATGACTTCTGGGCGGGGGGGCCCCTGCCTCAGTCGAGTGCACCTCCCTATGTTGTGTTCCTCGTGCCCCTTACTTACTCTCCCAGCGGCACGGCTCCGGGGAATCCCTTCGGGAGCTAGGGTTTCCCCTGAGACCCCCATAGCTGCCAGCTCTCAGGGCAAGGTGGAGAGCCTGGGGGGAGGGGAGGGGGCAGTTTCCAGCCACTGAAAGGGTCACCCGCTGTGGCCACCTGCAGCCCACCCGCCATGGGCGTGGCTCGGATGCTGTCCTCAGGCGGACTCCCGGCCCCAGGGCCATCCGCACACGGCTCGCTTACCCTGCCAGTGATGCCCTCCCTCCCGTCCCCTCTGCCTGCCCACCTATTTGTATATTTATCTGTTCGTTTTGGGCTTTGCAGAAGCGGGAAGGCATGCTGCATTCCAGCCACATCACGGAAGAGCTGACCACAACCACTGAGTAAGTGGGCCTGTGGGAGCCGGGGACCCGCACGTACGCGGGGGGCTGATTTCCGTGCGACAACCCCCCTCCCCCCCGCCAGCCTTAGGATGAGATTTTCATGCAAGCCCTGCCCTAGCTGTATGTCCTGCGTGTGCTTTCTTCAAAGATTTTTTTTTTTCTCATGAGGAAGGGCAAGATAGCAGTGTGGTTTGGCATTTATTTAAAAATTTTTAATGTTTGTTTATTTTTGAGAGAGAGAGCGCGAGTGGGGCAGGGGCAGAGAGAGAGGGAGACACAGAATCCGAAGCAGGCTCCAGGCTCCGAACTGTCAGCACAGGGCCCCACGTGGGGCTCGAACCCACGAACCGCGAGACCACGACCTGAGCCAAAGTCTGACGCTTAACCGACTGAGCCACCCAGGCGCCCCTGGTTTGGTATTTAAATGAGGACTTCTCCCAGATAGAAAAATAAATAACGTGCGGTGCAGGAATTAGAACGTACTTCGGCTGCCCCAGATCGTTTCTGGAAAGACACAGAGAATAATAAACAAGTAAAAATGTAACTGATCACATTCAAGGTCTCTTTACGAGGAAGAAAAGGAAAAGGGGAATTTAAAACATTGGGCTTTTGTCGGGTAGGTATGCCAAAGTCTTCAAAGTTTTCTGTGTGAGAACAGAGTTACTCTCCAAAGCCTTTGGACTTTTATTCCTTATTTTAGAAGGTGATCTTAAAGAACGTAGAGAGGGGGCGGGAGGGAGGAGGTGTTCAGAACGGTTAGGGACCCCTTGTCCCTGCATCCGCTCTGTCGGAGAGGGAGCCACACGTCTGAATTAGAACTTGCCTTTGAGAGAGTGCCGAGCCGTCCCTCGCCTCTTAGAGAAAGCCAGAGGGCAATTTTTAAGAAGTCTAAAAGGCTTCAAAATCTATCGAAAATAGCAAATCAAATGGTAAATTTTGCGTGTGGCTTTTAGGAGCCCGTGAAGGAGCTTTAAAATTCACTTGCGTGTGTGCCTCTCGACCAAACCTGTTTCAGATGAAACAGAACATTCGAGATTGATCTTCTCGGTGAACCCTCCTCCCGCTCTGTTCACAGAGTGATTAATTACTGTGTCACGAATTCACGGACGGTCTCTCAAAACTTGAGGCTGACCCAGGAAACCACTCCCGGCATGGGAGCTGGCGAATTGGGGAGTCACTGCCCGGAGGCCTGATGGGTGGCCTGATGTGCGGCGTGTCTGTTCCAAGCCCGTGGCAGCAGGGGGGAGGGGGAGAGGGGAGACCCCGGCCAAGGGCCGTGGTGCCCAGCCTGGCACCTCTAGTGGGCCTATGGTAACCAGCCTGGCCTGTTTGGGAGCAGCAGGAAGGCAGCTTGAGGGGAATGAGGGGGGGGTGGCATGTTAGTTATCCACAATTGTGTAGCAAGCCACCCCCAAACCAAGTGGCTTAAAACAACGGACACCATATTTGCTGACAGTGCTGGATCAGACTGGGCAGGTCCTCATCTAGTCGGGGGGTTGGGGCTGCCTGGGTGGCAGGCCTCTGTCCTTCCATCTGTCCCTCGTCCTCACGGGGCTGGGCTTCCTACTTTCCTTCCCATTTCTTTTTCTAGAGGCCACGCTGAACTCACCTCCTCCGGGAAGCCCTCCGCGGTTGCCCAGAGGAGTGGCTGGCTTCCTTTTAGTGCCCACGGGTACCCATGGGCCGTGTTGAAATGGGGGTTTATGAGGGCAGGGCCGTGGCATTTATTGGTATGGGGTGTTTGTTTATTTCCATGGCTTGCGCCTAGTAACTGCTCAAGAGAATGTTTGTTAAGTAAGACTGAGCCAAAGGACTTGAGCATGGAGGGACTTGGGGACGAAATAAGGACCTCCGTGCCTCTCCGGAAGGTCGATGCAGGGGCAGAGCCTGCGTGCTGGAGGGACCAGCCTCTGTGCCTTGTGGTTTCAGCGTCTGCAGGCAGGAATCAGGGCCCAGCCTGCTCTTCTTCAGGATTTTTCCGTGACTCCCTGAACGAGAGGTGTGCTTGCACCCTTGCACAGGGTGACCCTTGCGCATTAAAGCTTACGGTTCAGCGGCTCCAGGAGACCCGTTTTCTGCTGAACTGTTCTCTCCATTAACCGCTGCCATGATGTAACTCCCCACCAGTGGCAAATGGCATCGAAGGGATGTTTTGAAGAAAGGTGGCCGTTTGCTGCCGATCTTGGGCCGACATTTAGAAATCCACACGAGCACCTGCCCTTTGTAATTAGAGGGGCAGA